TGCTGAACCCGGGACCAGACGGAGACTGGAGCTCATTATCTATCGGGACGTCCATCTACACAACTGAATAAATGGTAAAAAAAAAAAGAAAAATACACACACACATATATATATATAAATATATATATATATATATATATGTTATATCATGTTGTATTGGAAAGTGAATGTCAATACATTTTATTAGATTATATTATATGTTTGGAACACAAATTGACTAAGAATTGACAACAACACAAATTTAGGGTCACAAATCAAAAATGTTTGGAACACAAAAGAATTAATTAGTTAATGATTGAATTCCTTTGTTTGACCTATTGAACTGTAGGAAGAATCTAACAGGAGGAAACTCATTTTTTTTCACTGTTTGTTTTCAATTGTTTTGATATTATTATGTTTTTGATATGTGCAATAATGTATCTTTTCTCCTTATTTTTATTTCAGGGTTTTCACGGTTTTCATGAAAGCTGATTGGTGAGTATCAGTGTTTGTGACAGATGTTTTCAAATCTGTTGAAAGTCAGTTTGAAGTTTTTGAGAACGACATATAAATCCTCAGAAATGTGTCTCCGTGCCCTTTGTAGTCGTGTGGTTTAAATGACTGTAGTTCAGACAGAATTCAAAAGTAGCTTCTTTTTTTTTTCTTTTGCAAAGAAAAATAACTTTTGCATTTAAGGAGCAATAAAACCGGTTCAAACCTGCTCCCAGAGGTCAGCGTGGTCTGAACCAGAAACAACAGCAGAATCATTTGGTTGATGTTGTTTTGTCTTTTACCTTCTCACAGTGCCCTTTGACCTCACAAACAACGCTATGGCTGTGGAAATTGGCCGGAGTTCTCCTTCAACGACGACTTTCTTCGGCACCAAACACCTCTCGCTTCTCCATCAGAGAGCCAAATGTTAAGTCAAAGCCTCTTTTGTCCTTCACAACAACACATTTTCTCAGGCCCAGAACACAGCCCCGCTGATTTGATTGATCATATATTTGTGTCTATTCATACAGGCCAGATTCATCATTCCAATTTGTCAAGTACCCAGAGTGCTGGACTAATTATGTGGCGGGAAACCAGAAAAAAAAAAAATGGGGGAGGCCAGCCTCCTGTTTAGACTTTCCTATCTCACCTTGGCTCCAAACGAGCAGCCGAACCTTCGCTGGGCTACAAGAGACGCACAGCACTGTGGGTAATTAGTGTGATGAATGCCTTAGCAGAACAAATAGTGGCAGTCGGCTGTCTCGCTCATCGTGTGGCTGTGTTGTCACAGCTCAGGGGCTGCAGGCTCATCAGGGTAATGGATGATTCTGCAACAGAACCATCCCTCAAACAACAGTGCCACTAGACTGGGCTGGAGAGAGAGAGAGGGAGAGAAGCAGAGAGAGAGAGAGAGAGAGGATTGAGTAAAAATAGCTGTAAGAAAAACCCAAACCAGAACTTTTCGATATTGCAGTAACTCCCATCTTAGTTAGAGATGTTAAATGTGAGGTTAAGAGAAGACAATGTCTAATTCAGGAGCACTCTCACAGTAGGGTGTGTAATCACAGGAAATGGAAGGAAAGAAAAATATGGCACGTTGATATAATTGTGGTATTGTAGCATTTTTTACACAGATCCTCTAAGGATAGTACATATATGTATGAATATATATATATATATATATATGTATGTGTGTGTGTGTGTGTGTGTGTGGATATGCAAACATTGTGTTTAATATACAATATTAATCCTCTGTGGGATTCTTCTTTTCCTTGGCTGGGCTGTAGAGCTGTCCGTTGGAATGATGGATCACATTATTAGATTAGAGGAGAGCACAGATACAGCTGGCAGCTGGATTTGCAATTCACAGCCTCCTCTTCTGTATATGGACCTTTTCTGCATGAAAGGGATAATTGGGCCGTTGTCACTGAGTCACAGTTAGTTTTTTTTTTTTTTTTTTAAACAATGCAAGTGAACCTTGCCATAAATCAGATCAGCTGTCGCGGCCACGTCACCAGACACGGCATTAGTCAAATATGCAGAATGATCCTCTTGCATACAATGTGAAGATGAATACATCATCATTTATTTGCTGTGCGCCAAAAACTAAAATATTCTCCTCATTTTTTTTCTCTCTCCGTTCTACAAATGAAGGGCATATGGTGATTTGGTTTCCTGGATGAGCCGTAGTCTAAAAGCAGGAACGGAGCGCTGCCTCTTTGTGCTGTCATCTCAGGACCAGCTAATGGCCCGTGCTTACTCTGTACCTTGACTTTTCAACCCAATGTGACAGTGAATAATATGCTGCACATAAGGCTGGATTTACTGCAATATCTTCCCCAGTAGCAAAAGCTACAGGACCCGGCGTATGGCTGCAGCAGCATAAGAGACAGGCAGGGCCGTGAAGAGGTTATCTCCGTGTTCAGGAGGTGAGACTTTGGGGATGTGGACCTGTCAGTCCACCGCAGTCATGGGATGTGTGCTAAGACAAGTGGAAGACACATCTCTCTGTCAGCGCACAGAGAGCCCGCACGGGCGCAGGCTTTTGTTGTGAACTCCCCAGTCATTGAGTCAATAGCAGAGGAACATGACACAAGCTCTCAAAGTCACTCTGCATCAAGAAGAACAGGCTTTACATTTCACTGCACAATGACCCTGCGTAGTAATACCCCCGACTGCCCCTTAAGAAACAAGAGAGCTCTCAGCCCAGGCTTCAGGATAAAGAAACCCCTGATCTGGACAAACACACGACCCACTACAAACAATCCAATCCACACATGCTGCTTTTATCTCTGCTGGCTGTTGTGTTTTTATCTGTTCATCACACTTTATTTCACTGCCTCCGCTCCTTCACCTTTTCACTCTTGTTCACACACATTTATTATGTCTCCCCCAGCGCAGACCTTCACTCTTCCAGGTCGTCTTATTCCACCTGCTCTCCACTCCACTCTTGCTGATGAGGTTCGTCTTTGGAAAAGGTGAGTGAATCCCAGAGTCCTTCCCTGAACCCATCTGCCACTCCCACTGCACCCCTCATCAACAGCTCCCTATCACCTGTACTTCGTCTGGGCATTAAATCAACGTGTTGTTTACAGTTGAGCCTCTTTCATCGAACATTTGAAGTCTCCTCGGCACACATTATTTTTAAAAATGTTTCTTCATTCTTATTTCTTCATTGCCTTTTTCCTTTTTTCTCCTCTACTTCCTTCTGACCTCTCTCCACCCTTTTTTCTCTGACCTTTCTCAATTATCTAGGTACTTCCTCCTTAACAGTCTGAAACACTTGGTTTGCTTATTTGGTTTCCATTATTTAATCATTGGCTTTTCCTTCATTCTCATTCTTCACTCTCCACAGTTTCCATCGTTACCAGCACAGGCAGTAATCTTTCAGTGTGAACCTTCCAAGTCTGCGCTTGCCTGGATATTCTGGAGAAATCTAAGTGTACATTTTCGTATACATATGTGGTCAGTATTGAACCCCGGCCGCTTTAGGTGTTTCTTGCAGTTGATGTTGATGGTGACGTTATTGTAAAACGGCCAAAAATGAGTTCCATTTTAGCAGGAAATGATCATTCACACACAGAAGGTATTAAAACCAAAAATAGTATATTTAACGTATTTATAATAAACATACAATCATGTCATAGTTTTCCAGAAATATACAGAACATAAAACTAAAAAGCACTAGAGCGTAGGTAAAGGTCCTCTGTGATAATTTGAAAATATATTTTCTCCTTTCGTTGCCCTCAAACCCTCTGCAAAGGTCCCCTCAACACAAAAAGCCATGGAAATTCACACAGACTTACTGGCCAGCACGGAAGTGAGACATCAATCTAAAGGCCATGGCTAACACGATTAGCACATGGTTTCACTTTAATCAAAAGGCAACATGCTGCAGAAAGGCTTGTGTGCATATGAAGAGTTTTCAACCAAAGGCGACGTCTCCATTTTCAAGTCAAAGACTTCCAAAAAAAACCAGGTCAAAGCGTGGAGTTGTTCTTCGGCAGTAAACTCTTCATATGTCAAAAACTTTTGTCATTAACAATCTGTTTTAAGATTTTAATCTGCAGCAACCCAAAGGCAATTTTCTCAAAAAAAAAAAAAAAAAATTAAAAGGAATAAAAAAAGGACATTTTTTTAATCAGAAGGCAAACATCTCGAGCACAAGTAGGTGCCAAAAGAAACAGTCCTGTTGCCGTGGGGAATACAAGATCAAGCAAGCGCCGTGCCACTTTCTAGCACGCTGTCAGAGCGACAAGATGTTAGCGTCGTGTTCTTCTTCGTGGGTGTTAAATGTGACATTGCCCGTGTTATTACGGCGCAGCATCACCTCTCATCAGAAAGCCTTAAAGTAGAGCCTGCTCTTCAGGCACAGGTGTGGGACTGCTCTCAGTGAATTCCGGCCACACGCTGCTATTTTTACAGCACCATGTCAGACTACGGTGTAGCTTCAACACTGGTGTCACGTCTCGTAAGCCAAGACCGGTTCTCTGTTCATATCTGGAGCAAAGCAAGAAACGGTTAGCTTTCTCACTGATGGTGAAAACAAAAATAGAGACTATAACTTCACTATTAGGAAAGTCCTAAATATTAACAGTTATTACATCCTAAATAATTCTGCTCTCTAGACCGATACACAATATTCTATAGGCAATATGTTTGGGGGGTGGGAGGGGGCGATGATATGGTGAAAGTAAGTGGAGGGAGGTCACAGAAAGGCTACATACAGCTGGACGTATGCTCTGGGCTCCAGCGTGTTGAGACAAAGTCTCTGCAAGACAAAACAGAACACTTGTACATGTCACTTTGGCACTTATATTGCACTATTATGTACAGAGGAGGAGTCAGCACTAGGACACACTGGAACATTACAGATATAAAAAGACTGTGTCACCTGTGAGGAGTTTCTAGGAAGAGGAGGAGGAGGAAGAGAAGACGAGATAACAGATGGGGATGTCTGGTTTCATCCTCCGGTCTGTCAGAAATATGGAAGATGCCTTTTTTCTCTCTCTCTCTTTCTTTCTTTTAAATTTGTGAACAATTCAGCCGAATGTCTTTCTTTCCTAAATGCAAGGGTGAATTTTAAGCTTGAAAAAAAAGGGGGTTCCAGCCTCTACCTGCCTTAGTGCCCAGGTTGTTAAGGTTTGTTAGAATTCAAGTGTCCGTAGCTTTTGTTCTGTCTTACGTCACGACCTCCCAGACGACAGACGCCAGTCTGTCTGACTTTGACATGGCTTTATAGCTAGAAAGCTCTCTGGCCTTCTGGCTACAGCGGCATGACTGCGTTGTAGAGTTTAAATCTTATATTCTTATATGCTTTAAAGAGGTGTAAAATGAAACAGGGTTCAAAGTAATGTCCGCTCTGAAAAATAAGGCATTAAAAGGCGTAAAATTGATGCGGCGCAGTTTCCCTTAATGGCGGTAACTCGGAGAACAGTTAAAACATTATGGGAACCGCACTTCGTCATCAAGATTAATGAAGCCAGAGAACACTGCAACATTTGCACCATGGACAAAAAATGGAGAAAGGGCAACCAGTGGGCCTGTCATGGGAACAATTAAAGACTTAACACTTAATGTATCGTCACCTGTACAAAAGACCGGTGTAAAACTGGCAAGTTTCATGTTTTAAAGTGATATATGGTTGATACATGAATATTTATTATCTAGTTTTCTATCTCGACGTGCATTACCAGCATGCTTTTAAAGAGATACTCTTGGCTGCGTCATGCTACCCTGTGTCTGCTGCGCCGACAGCCAGCCCATATACAATCATCGCGTCTCACTGCGTGGACTCCGTGTTCCACCGAAACATTTCCACGTCCCCGGTCAGCCTCGGCCCTTCTCGTGCGGTTACTGCCTGTTCTGTATTTGTGTTTTCATCTACGTAGAGCACAAGAGGCACATCAAAAATACTGCGTTAAGGAGTTCATTTCACGTCCTGAGGTCTGTGTATGTTTCTTGAAAAGATCGTTGTCGAATTTTGGTCGTAAAAGAATTGTTTTTTGATCCCAAGGTGAATAAATCACTAAAGAGACAAACTGGAGAGACTAACAACACAGCACTGAAATAAACATATCTAAAAATTATATACATTTTTATTTAAAGAATAATCTGGTTATTTAAATTTTTTAGATTTAAAATGTATGATATATCTCCTTCCTTTATTATCTTTGTAAGGATTTTATTCTTTTAAAAATAAATTGCATGTAGTTTTTTGTGTTCTACTTGAAAAAAATGAATTGTTAACAAGTGCTATAAATATGTATTATGAAAATATATATTTTGATAAAAATAATGTTCCATGTTTTAACATTATACTTATAGCTATTTCGTGAGTTTTTTCATCAAAATTTACATTTTATATTTTGAACTACAAGAAAAACAACACTTTTTGATTTTTGTTGTTTGGTTAAAATATGAATATTTGTTGAAGTATATTTTGGAGAGACACAGTCAGATTACTCACTGTGTCTCTTTTCACCACTACACAGAAATTGTGGTGTTTCCATGTCTGTCTCTTAGTGATTTTCATCTTTGTGCTACAACAAAAAAAAAGAAAAAAAAGAAAAAAAGAAATGGAAATAATTGTTATATAAACCAAAAAAAAATACACTAAGAAAACATAAACAGACCTTCTGAGTAATAACGTCCCTATCATCCCTGTCCTCACTCTCTTTGTGTTGAACTATCATTCAAACCACTGCTTGAATTATATGTATTAAATACAAATGACCCAGTGAATACTTCAGTCATTTCCAGATGTTGAAACGATCTGGTTCCATACACAGAGTCATTTCAAATACCCTTCCGTGGCCTATTTGGTTTCTTTAGGTTAGTCATTTGGATAGTACACGTGGATATAACACTTCATGACTCCTCTTCATCATCATCATCATCATCATCATCATCACCATCATCCTTCACCAAATGTCTCATAATGCTCTACTCTATAACAATGGGCCACAGCTTTTCTGTGCACCATGCATGTGTTGTACCTGGCCCATTGAGTATTCTGTACTTTTTTCAGTTAAGTGTAGTGTATTCAGGAATTTCCTAAAATAAACGAATCAATGAGTTAAAAGAAAGAAAAAAAAAAACCCTTATTTGTTTAAATGAGGCATTAGTGAGTGGTGCGTTCACCTGCACTGACACTGCCCTCTGTCTGCATTTTTAACTTTTCCCCGTCTTCTCGAAATGACATTACATTTAGACTCAAACGATGTTCACCAGTAAGTGATGCGATGCAACTGCTACCAAAGCTGTTGTTTGAACCCGAGGAAGGAGAAGTGGCAGAAAGAGGTCACAGCTGAACATATTGACTCTGTGTTGTGACAAATATTTGGGTATTTGGTTAAAGTATTTAAATTAGTAACTGTGGTTTTATCCATCTGTTTTTTTTTTGTTTTTCTTTTAGGAATACAGTACTGCTAACAATCCGATGGGGGCGCTCTGCACTACAGTACACAGGACGTGTTTAACTGCAGACTCAGAAGTGCATCCTGTCCATCCAATCTACAGTCGCTCGTCTTAATAGTAAGTAAAACATCAAATATTTAGAAGAAGTCTTGATTGTATTACAAGGGAATTCAATCTACATTTCTAGCACCCCCTGTAGGCGAGATAGAACTACATGCTCTCTTCCCGACACTAGTCTAAAATTCCTGCACGATCTACTGCAAGTTACTACAAAATGTTTTTTTTTTTTAATTTATTGAACTTGCCACTAAACTGCTACAATATTGTTGCTGTTTATAATGAATTATTATCTGGAAAAACAGCTTCAATTTTGAGGGACACTGAATCAGAATTCACTGAATTAGTTTAAGAAAACCTTTGAAAATAATAGGGTCGTATAATATCTTTAAACGAAAAAAAAAAGATTGGATTTTTACTAAAAAAATACATCAAATAAATATATCTTGTGATAAACTTTGTTCACAATGTCTAGAACGTCACAGGATGATGAATAATGAGGTTTAAAGGATTCATTTGTAACTTTCCGCCACTGCTGTGAAATCTGATTCTGGGTCAGCGGTGAAGAAGTGTATAAATTTGGTCTCCAGAATTGTCCTTTAACCCTTTCCTTCCCAACTGTTAATGGTGCAGGAAGCTAAAATTATTATTATTATTTTTTCTTGGTATTTTAAACTCAAAGTGATGGAGCGATGATAAAGAAGTTTCCTATGGGGATACTTTCCTTAACGATAGATCTCAACTATCAGTCCAGAGAATGTCTGTGTTCATGCCAAAATCTGACCATGAATAAATACATTAACTCTCATTCTGCGATTTGACCTGAGGAATATTTCCTTCTACAGGAAAACAAAAACAGACAAACACGCTGATTTCTAACGCACTGATTCTTCAACCTTCCCGGAAAGAAAACGACTCCATCGGAGTCCGCTAGAAGACAAGTCTGGGATGGGAACACATCACTGCAACATACCTGCGTGTTTTTTTTTTTTTTTTTGGTGGAGTTAAAGTGACTTTTTATCTTCTCTTCCGGCAGAGAGAAAAAAAAAATCCAAATATAAGTTGTTGTTTTTAAAGACAAATGGTCTTGATAATTTATATTAAAGTTAAAAAAATATAATAAATAAAATTGTGTAACTGAGTGTAATGTAGATATCAAAAGAAAAATATCGTGTGAGTTGTTTCAAGTGAGAAGATGGTAAAACTCTAACGGAGGACATTCTTCCAAACCGGATCAAACCAGATCGGTTGTCATGACTACAACACCGACTCCATGTTGTTGGACATCTCTGGGTCCTCCAGGTTAAAAATGAACTTTGTCCTGTTGGCCGGATTATGCGTGATCTCTTTGCCTAAATTGTCCAAAGTCACGTTGGAGGAAAAGAGTTCGGTGGGCGTGAGGTAACCCTCGTTGTTCTTGATGTACTTCCTGTAGTTCTTCCTCAGACAGTGCCATGTGGTGGTGTACAGCAGGAAGGCCGAGGACTTGAGGACGATGGCGATGCTAACGTACAGGTGCCTGTAGGCCACGTTGTCATACAGCATGCACGCTCCTTTCTCACCACACACAGAGCTCCAGAAGAGGCAGGTGGAATCGATGCCCATGCCGAAGATAAGAGGAGGAGGGATGAAGCCTGCAGGGCAGATGTTGGACAGAGATCTAAGTAAGTACGTTTATGGCACAGCAGCAGCCGGTTAGAAGAGTTTAAGAAGGAAACGCACAAGGTTAAAGAAAGCATTCTTCATATGTGTTGCATCAAGTGGTCCTCGTATATAATCAAACTAAAATGACAGAAGACAACAGCTGAGCTAAGCTAAGCTAAGTCTCTCTATATAAAAACAACCCATAATGCATTAAAACTAAGGATGTCCGATTTTAACTTTTTGCCGATATTGTCCAAACACTTATTCTCCGATTCCGATATCAACTGATACCGAGCACTGTATGAGTATGAGATTAATTAAATGAGCTGCAATGCTGCCATCTAGTGACTTTCACTTTAATATACAGCCGTTTATCCCCTAAACTACTTTTAGGGCACACATCATTTGGCGAAACCCAGGCATTGCGTTACGAAATTTTCATTTTCGAAAGGAAAAAACGATAACGATTCTTACAGATATTACATAATTATGCTAATATCTGGTCGGCCAATATTATCGGACATCCCTATTTAAAACTAGTAAAAGGGTTAGTTGGTTAAGTATTATTTCTTCATCAGGCTTAAAGGGTTAAATTTAGGATAAGTATTGGGGTCAGGTTTACATGAGAGATATTTGTTTTTAACAGAATAGTGTTAGACCTACAGTTGGGGTGGGGTAAAGGGCAGTTGGGTAAGGTTAGGGTTAGTAGGTATGGGTTGGTGCAAGGGTGAGAGTGATACGTTAGGAAGAGGGTTATTTATTAGGGTAGAGTTAGGATTAGGACTAGGGTTAGGTTGGTGTTGGCTTTGGGTGCAGGCTGTACAAGGCTGCACCACAGCGCCCCCGCCCCTCTGCCCATCCATCCACCACACGTCCCTCGGTCATATTCTAATTGACCTATTTGTCTTGTTCTGCCTGTTTGTCTTTTTCTGTGTGTGTGTTTTTCAGAGCGTTTGTCACCTTGGATATCTATGAACAAAAAAATAAAATGTGACCTTTTGTGCAAATGTTTCAACAGAATCCTTTCTTCTTGAGGGACTGCATGTTGAGAAATAAGGTATTTACCTGAGTGATGTTTCCTCCTCTGTAGTTTGGGATAAAAATAAAAATCCCTCTTTAGGTTTTACTTGTATTCATTGTTCTTCTCTTGACTTTGATCCTCTTGTCTTTGTTTTTTTTCCCCACTCTTTTCTTTCCCGGTTTTAAATATTTTCGGCACTGGGTCGAACAACTTTTAATTTCTTAAAAAACTGCACTGATTTTATATATCGTGTATATTGTATTTTAGTGTATTTTACTTTATTATTTTGCTATTTTTATTAAGTAACTTTGTTTTATTTATATTTGTTAATGTACACACACCTCACCGAGCCCACCATGTAACTAATTAACATTTCAAGTGTAGTATTTTTTTTAAAAATAGAGGTGTTCTTACCTATTAGTCTCAGCAGCAGGAACAGAACTCCGAGAGCGTATGATTTCAGCTCTGGACTGACGGTTCTGAAACAGACAGACAGACAGACATCTCACATGAGTTACTTGAACTAATAGTATGTGCAAAGGGTCGAGGTTGGGGTCTTCTCCGGCGCTTTGGGACCTGTTAACAGCGTCCACTGCAGTTAAATTATTAATAGGTGCTGTGGCGACCTCTACTGGCCGCTGTGCAATTTAGGTAGGTGATTATTTCAGTCCGGGACAAATGATTGAGTACCTGAAGATGTTACATTAATGAAATGACTGAGGGAATGTTCCGTTACAGAATCCCTCGAATATAATGAAGAAGTTGAAGCCTAACAAGGATTTATGTTCGCCACAGCAGAAGTATGTGCCATGGGCATGTAGGAGGAAGACTATTTTTAGGTGACATATTGAAGGACACTTGCCTCTGTATTGTTAAAAACACAGCAAAACAGCTTTTTACAGTTAAAGCATGAATTGACAGTGGCAAAAAAATGTTCTTTCATGAGTATTAATTGTACATTTATTTCAAAATTTTATCTATCTCTGTATGTTTCTCTTCAAATTGGAGCATTGTCAGAATTTTTTTAGAAAAAAACATTTCAAAATTTTTTTTGGCAAAATCATAATTAAGCATGTAATCTTAGGTCAGATTTTGAAAAACTTTGAATGGAAGTTTTTGGCAATTCTTTTTTCAAAACTTTATATTGTCTGGATGTTTCTCATCATAAATTCATAAAAATCATGAATCATATTTTTTTTTGCAAAACCCTAAATTTTGACATTTTATTTTTTATCCAATTTTCTAACAATATGTGAACATTTTGTGTCATTTTTGGTCAAAAACTAATGCATATTGAGGAAAATCGTGGAATTTTATTTTTCAGAATGGTATCTTTTCTGCATGTTTCTCATCGAAATATACTTATGACATTTTTTTATTTAAAAACTTAAAAAAAATGAAACCTTTTTGGAAAAAAAATTGAAAAATATTTTTTTTTTAAGATGTATTGAATGTAGATACACTTTTTTTGGAAAAGGTTTTAGAAAAAATGTTTTTTTGAATTTTTTTGGCAAAACCTTAATTTTTGGTCACATTGATATTGTTTTTTAATGAAAATCTTTAAATTTTTTTTCAAAATTTGATCTTTTCTGCATGTTTCTCATCAAAATGTAGTGTTTTGAAATTGAAATTAGTATTAGACGAATAAGTGTATTTTTATTCATTTTTGAGAAATGTTTATTTTCAGACATTTGTTCAAGAACTTATTGGTATAGT